ACTGTAGAAAAGGCTGATCAGAATGAAGGGCAGCGAGTTCACTTGTCCGCCTGGCAGAAGTAATTGCAACCAGAAATAACGCCTTCAAAGATAACAGTTTGAGGTCGCAGGTAGCCATTGGCTCAAAGGGAGGATGAGTAAGGGCATACAACACCAAGTGAAGGGACCACTGTGGAACAGGTGGTCGAACTGGAGGTCTCAAATTAGTAAGTCCTTTCAGAAAGGCTTTAATTGTAGGATGGGAGAAAAAGTGTGAGGAGGTTGAGTCCTTGGGCTGAAAGGAGATAATCGCAGCAAGGTAAACTTTAATAGTGGAAAGAGACAATTTGAAGTCAAACAGGTAACGCAAATATTGTAACACGGTAGAAAGAGATGCAGGGGATGGGACAAGGCCCCTGGCTTCAGGAAACTTCAGGAAACTGTTCCACTTGTAACTGTACAATAGAGAGGTGGACGGTTTTATGGCTCCATCTAGCACCTCCTTGATCTCGGGGAGATCCTCCACGCTATTAGATGCAGTGTCTCCACGTCTGGGTGGAATACTCTGCCTGCATCCTGTGTCAAGAGATCAGGTAATGCTGGTAGTCTCCTGAACTCCGAGGACATCTTCACCAAGTCAAGAGATCGGGTAATGCTGGTAGTCTCCTGAACTCTGAGGACATCTTCACCAATGTTGGAAACCACACTTGTCGAGGCCAGTGTGGTGCTATAAAGATCGCCCCCACGGGCGAGTGATGAAGCTTTACCAGAGATCTCTGTATCAAAGGAAGAGGAGGAAATATGTAGAGTAGTCCCTGATTCCATGGGATCATGAATGCATCCCCTAACGAGTCCTGACCGAGACCGGCTCTGGATGCATATATGGTGCACTTCGCATTTGCGATGAGAGGCAAAAAGGTCTGTGATCGGAGTCCCCCATAGGTGGCAAAGGTCCTGGAACACCTGGTTGTTTAGCTCCCATTTGTGTGTCTGACGTGTAAGGTGACTCAGTTGGTCTGCCAATACATTGTCTGTCGTGGCCACATGAATCGCCACAGGATAGACCTGGTGCAGCTAGCACCACTCCCACAGGTGAATGGCGAGGTAGAGAAGCGATTGTGAGCGTGTCCCTCCTTGTTTGTTGATATAGTACATGGTCGTGGTGTTATCTGTCACTAACAGAACACCACGACCCTGCACCATGGGAAGGAAGGCTCTGAAGGCCTTGATGACCGCTAGGATCTCCAGATGATTTATATGGAGGTTTCTTTCCTGAAGAGACCAGAGAGCATGAACCTTGTGCCCTCCGCAGTGTGCTCCCCATCCTGTCGGACTGGCATCTGTTGTCACCTGGACATTGAGCCGAAATGGTCGAAAAGGTCTGCCTACCCTTAGATGTGGAGGGTAGTTCCACCATTGCAGTTGTTGTGCCAGCTCTTGGGTTACGCGAAGGCGCTTCTTCTGGCTGTTTGTCATGGGATTGAAGAGTGCCAGGAACCAAGACTGCAGGGACCGCAGTTTGAGACGTGCGTGTGCCAGAGGCTGAGTGGTGGAGGCCATAAGGCCCAACAGGTGTTGAACATGTTTCGCCCTCACCCGGGCCCTTGAGCGAAACTTCATGAGAGCCTTGCATATCTTTCGAATCCGGTCTTTGGGCAGAAAAATTCTACCTCTGACGGCATCGAGACGTGCTCTGATGTAATGCACTATCTTGAATGGTTCGAGATGTGAATTCTCTCTGTTGATGGTGAGTCCTAACTTTGGCAATAATCGTAGAATGAATTTTGTGTCTTTCAGGGCCTGAGCCCTGGATGGAGAGACCACCAACCAATCGTCTATGTAAGCGTAGATGTGGATGCCCTTGAGTCGTAGGTAAGCTGCCACCAGTGCCATGACTTTTGTGAATGTTCTGGGAGCTGTTGAAAGTCCGAAAGGTAGAGCCAGGAATTGATAAATGGTTCCCTGGAAGATGAATCGAAGGTACTTGCTATGATCTGGATGGATGGTCACATGGAAGTATGCGTCCTTCAGATCCACCACCACAAACCAGTTGTTTTTTCTTAGCAGGGGCAAGATGGACTCCAGAGTCACCATCCGGAAACGTCTCGGATGCAGGTAAGTGTTTAGAATTCTTAGGTCAAGGATGGGTCTTATGCCTCCACCTTTCTTTGACACGGCGAAGTACCGGGAGTAGAAACCATTTTTTAGATCTGTGATTGGGACGGTTTGAATGGCGTCCTTTCTTAGAAGAGACAGAACTTCCTCTTCTAGAATAGGGTCAAGGGTAGTGTGACTTACGAACCCTAAGGGAGGAAATTCTATAAATTCCAGCCAGTAACCGAATTGGATGATTTTTAGTGCCCATGTGTCGTTTGTGATGGTGGACCAGTTTTACAGAAATGGTTGAAGCCTTGTGGTGGTGGGGTTTCTGGCGACATTTGTGACAGAGTCATACGTAGATATTGTTTTGATTTTTTGGCAGGCGGCTTATAGGATTGTCTACACTGGGATTGCGGAGGACGATAACTGGGAGCAGAGGAGGAAGACTGTGAGGGTCTTGCTGAGGTAAGTTCTTATAAGGTCTGTACTGTTGTGAAGATTGCTGGTATTGAGCACAGGACCTTCTCCATTGAAATTTCTTATACCTAGGTTGTGTCTGGACAGAGTAGGATTTGGCCGTCTTTTTTGCTTTATGAAGGTCCTCCAAATTATTGTCGGTTTTGTCGTTGAACAATCCGGTTGCGTCAAAAGCAAGGTTTTCTATTTTGGCTTTGACGTCTTCTAAGATGTCAGCAGATCTCAGCCAAGCATGCCTAAGAATGGTGACAGCCGACATAAGTACTCTGGCAGCAGTTTCAGTTGCATGCCTAGTGGATAACCTTTGGTGTTTTGACACAGTCTGTGCTTCCTCAAAAAAATTTCAGGAAGCCCTGACGAACATCCTCAGGGGTCATCTTCAGACCAGGTAAAATCTTGAGCCAAAGTTGCTTTTGGTATGCTCCTAAGGCAGTTTGATAGTTGATGATACGCAGGAGCAGTGAGATTGGGGACTAAATCTTTCTCCCAATAATCTCCAACTTCTTACCCTCCTTATTTGTAGGGGTAACATGTGATTTCCCAGAGGGCCTAGAGCAACTTGTTTCCACAATGAGTAAATTTGGTATTGGATGCTTAAGCAAAAATTTCGTGTCACTGCCATGAACACGATAAAGATTCTCAGTTCGACGAGAGACAGAGGGAGAAGTAGAAGGCTGCTCCCAAAATTCCTTGATAATTTCCATTATCACTGGGACAAAGGTGAGACTTGCAGGAGGAGACCTTTCCTGGTTGATGTCTCCAAAAATAAGGTCCTCCCCAGGTTGAGCACATTGGTCCACTTCTAACTTCAAAGCCCTCACTAACCTCAAAAGCATCTGTGAGTAAGAGGAAAAATCCTCTGATGGAGAAGAAGCATGTGGGTCACCCGTGTCAGACCCCACAACTTCCCCTTCAGGAAGGTCCCCCTGGCAAGGCTGGGAAGGTAACTCATGGTCAGAATCCGATGATCGTGCAGAAGAGACCTCATCCAGATCTGATGAGAAGACATCCCTCTTCCCTTTACGAGGTTGTCTTTCGACGTCGAGATTTGAAGTCTGGGTCTGCTGTGAGGAGATAGGAGCCGTCAATGTCGAAGGAACAGGCTGAGTAGGAACTGGTATTGGAGCCTTCGGTTGTTCGATGTCGACCCGTCGACGTTGATGGCGGCGATGGGGACGTGGTGACTCAGAAGAGGATGAAGAACAGATGTAAACATATTTTGCCTTCTTATGTTTTCGATGTCAATCAGTTGACGTGGAAGAGGAAGAGTCAGAGGAGCTGTAATCCCTTCGACGCCGGTGGCGACGACGAGCCTTTGGTCTATCAGAATCCTCCGAATCCGAGGACCTATGTCGGCATCGGTGCTTAGAGTGACACCAAGCCGAAGAGCGATGCTTCCTCTTCAAAGAGTGCTTCTTTCGAGGGGATTTTGACCTCGGCTGATGAGACTGAATGAGCCGAAGACCCCTGCCCAAGACGCATTGGGCTGTGCGGGGCAGAAGTCTGACTCGGCATCGGAGAAGAGATGCCCTCCGGGAGAAAAGGCTCAGCTTGTCGAGGAGGAAGCAATGGGGCCGCCTCCGACAAGGATTCATGGTCTCTCGATGAGTCCTCCAAAATAGGCGATGGTAAAGACTCAGAAATAGGCGGGAGCTGAGCGGGAGGTTCCTTGGATTTAACAGGAGCCTTGCCCTTTGCTTTTTTTTCCAGGTTTCGCTGCAGCAGCAGCAACAGGCTTCGACGTCGAAGCGGATTTTTTTGAAGAGGTCGTCTTCTTAGGTGGTTTTGAGACGTTGGAGACCATGGATTGCACAGAAGCTCCCGATTCAGATCGAGGAGTGGTCGAAGGCGAGACCATTTCTAAGTCAGATGGTTTTGTAGAAGCCAAAGTAGATTCCCAAAGGTGGTATTTTAGACGTTGTTGCCTGGCTTTCAAGGCAGCTTTAGTAAAGGCTTTACAATGCTTGGAAGACTTAGTGATGTGCGATTTGCCTAAACAGAAAAGGCAACGATCATGCCCGTCTTGGTGGGGAATCTTCCTGGAGCACACAACACAACGGCTACAGGATCCTGAGGGGTACATAAAAGCTGAAAAGTCTTACTAGTAGCCTTTAATAAGGCGGTAAAAAAGGCGGGAAAGTCTGATGCAGCCAAATTCGAGGGGAAATCCAAAGCGGGATAAATCCAAGGTAAAAGCCGATAAATTCCAGTCAGAATAGGAAAAAACAGAAGAGCTCGAAGCGAGAGGTTCCAAATCGCTAGGCGGATAAATGGAACTGAGGCTGGGGCGGGTGGAGCATGCGCAGTACAGGCAGCCTTAAACTTGTTACTTTTCTCTTAAAGCTCGAGAATGTTCAGAGAGGACCAACGCTGGTGCTGGGTTAACCCTTTTGTGTGCATTCACAGAAGACCACGATGAAGAAACATGTGTCATGCCATCTTACCTCTTGTTTCAACAGCATGGATGCATTTCTTGACAATGCTGAAGCCTACATTATCCAACTGGGCAGCTGAAATAAAAGAAAAAAAAAAGATAAAAGGGCAGGAGAATTTTGAAATAAAATCAAATCAAGCATTTGGATACAAGGAATTACATATATTTTTACAAAGATAACATATTAGATCCAGCACACACTTCCCACAGATGGCTTTAAATAATACCAACAGAAAACTTTTGATCCAGTAGGTATTTTCTTCTTACTAAAGAAGGGAAGAGATGGTATCTGGTGATTCCATCTCCCCCAGAGGTCCCCTATAAAGGTCTGGTTCAGGGGCTGGGAAGGGATGCCGGAGCAATTGAGAAATAGTGTTGGCTTGGGATGCGAAAGGAAAAAGGATCTGGCAAAAAATTCACCCTGCTTTCCACCAGCAGAAGTGATCAGAGCGGGATTTTGTTTGAGCGCTTCTGCCATAAGAAAAAGTCAGGTTGAAACACACTGAGAATAGTGTCCTTCAAAAATGAAGACAAGTATTCACTCAGTCAATTAACTGAAGACATTTTCTTCATTAAGGCTTGAGTTAACCTTAACCTAAAGAAAAGGACATGTATTGGGGTACAAATAGATTATTTTCATCCTCCACTGTTGCAAATGAATTTTCCTATCTCCAAAAGCCTGCCCACACCCAATCCACATTAATGGAAGATATTTACTCCATGGCAGAATTTCTTCTTTCATTGAAAGTGAAGCATGGATAACTTTGTAGATATGCCTGGATGAAGGAAACATGCTAAAAAGTCCACCTCAATTCATCAACGTCATTCAGCAGATTTCTTCAAAAGTAAAAATCACTGAGAAAAAAGAAAGTAATTCAGCCAAAACTAACTGGAAGGAAACTTCAAACAGAAACAAATAAAAAAGGTTTGTTCAATGGTCCGGCTCTAATGAAAAGATAAAATAGTCTTAATTTATTATTATCTTACAAATGATATAAATGATTCACTGTTAGTAGTATTGCCAAGGAATATTAGTGTAGAAATAAAAAAAATAGAGTACAGAAATCCGGAACTTAATAAGGATGATGGGAAGAATGACTATGTGGGAAGAGAATGTGAGTAAGCAAGTAAATTGATGATAAAGGCTTGAATAAAGAAGCTGCAGTTCTAATACAGTCAGTGGCTCAGAGGGCAAAACAGTCTACACCTTTCCTATCAACAGGAGATCATCTGCCCTTCCTGGCTAACTAATCTACTTATTTATTTATTAGATTTATACCACACACATCTAGATCGAAGTCTACTCTGGGCGGCTAACAATAAAAAATGGAATAACAACAATATAATAAAGTAAAAACAACAATTGTAATGTGGCAAAAGATGGGGAAAAGAAAAAAAATATTCAAGTGATGGCAGGAGGGAAAGCCTGCCTAAAGAGCCAGGTCTTAAGTTGGCTCTTTAAAACACCCAGCAAGGGAGCCAGACAGATCTCTGAAGGGAAGCTGTTCCAAAGGCGAGGGGCTACTGCCGAGAAGGCCCGGTTTCTGTTCTTTCTCTCCAGGCCTCCCTCAGGCCCCTCAGCCACCCTTCCTGGCTAGAACAAGTGGTTTGGGTAGAGCTAGGTGGGAGGAGGTGTTCTGCTGCTAGATATCGAGGTCCTAAACAGTTTAGGGCTTTATATGTCATCATTAACAGTTTGAAATCAATGTGGAAATGAATGGGCAGCCAATGTAAGGCAGCCAGAGTGCGGGAGATATGCTGATATTTTCTTGTCCTACTGAAAAATCTGGCCGCCGCATTCTGCACCATTTGAAGCTTCCGCATCAATCTCATTACAGTAGTCTAATCTTGAGATTACAAGTGCATGGACCAGAGTGGTGAGTGCCCCAACATCAAGATAGGGCAATCTGCCACAGATGGAAAAAGGCAGAGCTGACCACTGACGCCACCTGGGTTTCTGTGGTAAACGCCAATTCCAGATGGACCCCCAAGCGGCAAACCTCACTCTTTGTGGTGAGAGTCACTCCCCCAAAAGAGAGGGAGTTTCTCAAGCCACCAACGGAGGGGCCACCCACCCTCAGGACCTCTGTCGTGTCCGAGGGGCCACCCACCCTCAGGACCTCCGTCGTGTCCGGGTTTAGCCTCAGTCCATTCAGCTGCACCCATTGCAGCACAGCCTCCAGGCAGTGCAGAAGGGACGGAACGGCATCCACAGTGGTTGGAGAAAAGGAGGTAGAGCTGGGTGTCATCAGCATACTGATGGCACAAAGCCCCACACCCCCTGATGACATTGTACAGCTGAAACAATGTTCTTAAACATTTAAATCAGTTGTCAATACATAAGCTGATGGAAAGAGCCATAAGAGTTGTCAGGATGATATACTGCTGGCCTTGGACATGTAAATTTTGTAAAGCGAGCGGTACTCCTTTTACCATCATCTACATTCTGTGTCCACCACCAATCCCTTTCACTACCTTTGGTGTTGCTGCTTAATTCATAATAGGGTCTCCTCCCCTTGGTACTTCCCTTTTATCAAAGCAACCAAACAGCTCGAGTTCCATTTCCATTGCAGCTTAACCACTGCCACAGCTAAGGGATGTGCAAAAAAGCACAGCTAAGGTTACATTCTTGTTTTTAGTTTTGGTTCTTTTGAGTGAGAGACGTATAGTCATGGCCAAAAATACTGGCACCCTTGCAACCCTTCTCTCAGAAAATTGTTGCAGTTGCAAACATTTTGATACTCACATGTTCATTTCTTTG